TATGCATGATGTTTTTATTGCTATCACTGTTTTCAATTTGTTAATAGATACTATACAAGGATAAATTTCTGTTGTGGACATATATTAGGTTGTCCCAAAAGTTTCTTTCATTTTATTAATAAGTAATACATACACAATATTTTATGTGTAATGTAACATTATTGAATTGCGTACGATTCATTTTGCTCCATTATTGTTACAACATCAACATCTAAGAAATTAGATTGTCTATTTCTATAAACACAACCGCACAAAATAGTTGAGTGTAAATTAAGAAAGAAACTTTTCGGACAACCTAATAAATACACGAATAACCAAGCATATACAGAATTAATTACTTAGTTGAGATAACTAAAAATAAACAATAATTAAATTTTAAACTTATTTCTCCTTTGCAGTTAACATAGTGCAGTATTAATGATAAATAGCTGGTGTGTGTATTGTGTTACAAGCCTGTCACACAATAATAACGTTATCTTTTTAAAGAGATTTTTTTCAGGCACTAGCATTAGCTAAGTAATATCTGCTAAAACGCAACAGTGCAAACTGAAGTCATAATAATTAATAATAATTGCAACAAGAAAGTTGTTTAATTATAATTATTAGCAATGGATTTACTCCTCTTAAAAAATATATTTTTGCGATAATATTTTATCGTCAAAATTTTCTTGTTTACTTTATGAAAAAGCCGTACTCAATGTATGATTATAAATATAAAGAGAAGGTATCTATATATCTTACTAAAATTACCGTTAACTCATTTTTTTTTTAAGTGGACTTATTCCATTTTCAAATATAACAGCTCAAACATACAGTGGGTGTAGAAAGTATTCGTACACCGATAAATTTCCAAAAAAACTGTGTAAAATTGTAATTTATTAACTTATTTCGTACAAACAATGACATTCTACATATTCTCGGAAGTCTCTAAGATAGATGTAGTCCAAACAACATTTACTAGTTAATATAATTTGTGAAATTAACAAGAAAAAAACAATTAATCGATAGAAATGTTGAAGCAATAAGTATTCGCACAACTGTTTAAAAGTACTTTACTAGAAATTTGATGTCTTCTAATTCGCAAGGAGCAATAAACTAATGTGTTTACGTTACAAACTCTACTGTAAATGGTTCGTCATAAGAATCGTACAAATACTTATTGCTTCTATACTTTTACCCACTTCTCGCATTTTTTTGTTAACTTCACAAATTATATTAACACATTGAATGCCAGACAAATATACTGATTAATAGATTCTGCTAAAATGAAATATTATTTAAACTACTGGAGACTGCATAATCAAACATTAATCGTCGTATTTATTTTTGTAACTTCATAAAAATTCATGAATTTCGTTTAATTTCATTCCCTTTGATGGTTGACTTTCAGAATTAATTTTTTTTTAGTTCTTCAGTGAAAAGCCGTCATATACAGTCACCCGTATATGGGTGACATGGCGATCAACGTGTTAACTAGTAAATGTTGTTTGGACTACATCTATCTTAGAGACTTCCGAGAATATGTAAAATATCATTGATCATAAAAAAGCAAGTTAAGAAACTACAATTTCACACAAAAGTTTTCATTCACGAAGGAAATAATAAATATTATTTCCTATTATACATATCCACTGCAGCTGTATACATTGAAATGACCAAAAGAAGGTCTCTAAAACAACTGCAACATAAATTTAACCTTTTCCATTCTATTTTTCCTACCTAGATCGCGGCAGAACTTGACCACTATCTATTCATCTAACTTAATGTACAGGTGGAAAAACAAAAACCGCATACGGGGTACAATTTCGACAAGGTAAAATACAGAAGGAGGTGAAAGCCACTCGCGAGGTCATATTATCAGCTGGTGCGATACAATCGCCCCAACTGTTGATGCTATCTGGAATCGGACCCAAAGATCATTTAGGAGCAATGGGGATTCCAGTGGTACATGATTTGCCAGGTGTAGGTCAAAATCTTCGGGATCAAGCAGCGATGGGTGGCATGACTTACTTGGTGGACCCACCAGAGGATTATAAGAGCACAAAACCTTTCACGTTCTCTTTTCCACTTGATCTTACTCCACAGACGGGGATGGAATTCATTGAGAAACAGAGTGGACCCTATTACACTGCTCTAGTCGAGAGTATGGCGTTTGTTAATACCAAGTAAGTACTTTGGAGTCCTGTTCCAAGTTCGACACGTTTTGCATTTGTTTGGGTTCTTTTTTGATTGTAATGCTACAGAAAATCTTGAATAATTCCAATGGAGAAAAATGAACGAATACAATAATGTCTGAGTAACTGAACACTATGCAATGTCTATTCATTTTACGCTTCGTGTAGAAAAGCTGCATCGCTATTTTCCCTGAGTCTGAAACTCGTATTTTACACTGAATTGGTGAAATAATTTTCCACGAATACGAAATATGAAATAATTGACTCGTCACTTTACGTTTTTCGCATCGAGTGGCCAACAACTGGGAAAACAAGAACCATCTGTGTTGATCACTGTTCACGCCAAAGTTTGCTTACTAACGAGGCAATTTTAATTGTGTTTTCAGGTACGCGAACGCGTCAGAGGACTTTCCTGATATTCAATTATTCATCATCCCCACTCATGACGCTGTGCACGGTTGTTTCGGGGCGCTTTTGTCGTTTGAAAAGCATTTCAACAAAGAATGGTGCATAGATATGCAGACCCGACCTTCATACTGGGTCATACCGCTTCTCTTAAGACCTAGAACCAAAGGACACATCAAATTGCGGACGAAGAAGTCAGAGGACCATCCAATCATTGTTTATAATTACTTCGAAGATCCTTACGACCTCGATGTTCTGGTAAAAGACTAATTAACACGTTCACTGCCAGACTAATACTCTTGAAAATTTCTACTGTGATTAAATTTTGTTTACAGGCTATTGGAAACTGTGTAATGAAACATTTATTGTGGTATTTAGTTTTGTAACTTCATTAAAGTTCAAGTATTTTATTTAAATTCATTTTCTGTGACACTTAACATTCAGAATTAATTTTCGTAGTTTTTCAGTGAAAATCACTGTCACCCATATACGGGTGACGTGGCGATCAACGTGTTAAATATTTAAAAATAAATTCCAAGTTGAGAAACTTGAGGGGTTAAACCACATTATCCACCCTAATTTTTAGGTTTTTCAACTAGAAAATCATTTTTTAATTTTTTTTTTCATTTTAATAAATTATTTAACATGTAGCTATGTACACATCTGATGAAAGTACTTCTATACAGTAGAAATATTCTAATGGAATAGAAATAGAAACATTTCCCATGTATGTGAAAAGTATAAACTATGACAAATATTTATTAAGAATGTTCACGATTTTTAATTACAATAGGTAGAGGGAGCGAAGATGATCCAAGAACTGAGCAAGACTCCGACAATGAAAAAATTGAACGCTACAGCGCATTTGAACCCCGTCAAAGAGTGCTCGTCATACGAAACGTTATCGGATGACCATTTGAAATGCCTTGCTAGACATTACACAGAAACAATCTATCATCCCATTGGGACATGCAAAATGGGACCAGCGAACGATTCCATGGCTGTGGTGGATCATAGATTAAGGGTTTACGGGATTAATGGACTACGAGTGATCGACGCTTCGATCATGCCAACGATGCCCTCTGGAAATACAAATGCACCGACGATTATGATCGCTGAAAAGGCTGCTGACATGATCAAGGAGGACTGGAAACAGAAATGAATATTGTACATTGTGAACAATGCGAATTAAAATAATACCAAAATTGTAACGAAACCTTTATTTTGTCGTATAGATTTCCTATTCCTTAACGGACTTACGTCGCCTCCTGTATGAAATTACCATTTTTATCATATGGGATGTTTATAGTAACTTTTGGTGTAAATAAAGTAATTTTAGTAGTTTTTTAACAATAAAACAAAAATTTGACAGAGAAATTAATTGGCTTTCGTACTTTTCACCAGAAATTATTGTATAATACTGAATATTCCAGCAAAATAAAGCATAATTTTTGCTAATTACAGAACATTTCAGCATTATATGTACGAATACTGAAAAATACAGAATGCTCCAACATCATACAGCGTTATACACAGTTTCATACCATAATTCGTACTGTGTAAATGAACGAAACACGTCGGCCGTTAATTTGCAATAACTGTATGCTATAATAATGATTCATGAAGAGCCAGGGTTCATCCGCATATAAATTAAATTACCTTCAATTTAAACTTGGAATCAAGCGAATCGGATAAAAATTCGATGAGCTATGCGCCTCGGCAATTTGTAAAACGTGGTCTTGAGAGTAATGCGTTCGGTTGTAAAAAGCCTAAGATTGTGTATATTCGTGTTTGTGTAAAGATAATCTGCGATTCCGGGAACATACAGTAGACCTTAAGACTCTCTAAAGAGCTGCTGTTTTTTTGTATATTTTGTAATTTTCGTTGTTTTTTTCAAGTTCAGCAGTTCCATAAATTTCAGAACAGCTGAGTAACCTCCTTAAACAATACGACAGGTATATATAAGACTGCTTCGATTGATGTCAAACCAGAATTCAAATGTCTTTTTACGGGTGACTACGTTTACTACATCAAGTGGTTAAAAACCACTAAGGTTAAGGGATTCCATTTGAATCTTTGAAGAAAAGAAGAGAAGTCGATTTTTTGGACCTGCTAGACCAGATTCCCTCCTTCAAGTAAGAATCTGTTATTTTATCTTCTATCCTTTTCTTTTCTATACTTATTTTGTTCTTTACTTTACTGCACAAAATTATAGTAGGTATAGCGAGATAAAAGAAACAGCACATTAAAAGTAGTAAACAGGAAAACTGTGTAACAACGACGCGATACTAAGTTATCTATCCCATTAAAAATGTATACAATTAAAAACCGAGCAGCCTATTAACGCATGTACATCATACGTAAAAAAATGTGACCATTTGTTATCTCTAACTGAGTTTCCCACACTTAAATGCCGTACATGTTTAAGGCTGAACGAGTTGTAAGTCATAAATACTGGAAGTTCTTTATACAGACAACGCGAATCTTGTGTTTGAAGTAAGAGGTAAGAAACTCCGAATCCTGTATTTGAAGTAAGAATCCTAAAATTGATCGAATTTTTCAAAACAAAAATTGCGAAAATTGATTTAAGTGCTCTTAAACTAGGGGTGTGCGGGATCCCGGTCGGGAATTCCTCCCGGGATCGGGATAAAATCCCGAATATATCCGTGATTCCCGAGAATTTCGAGATCCCGTACATTCGGATTGTTGAAATTTTCAAGAATAACAACACTTTCGGAAATCCCAGATATTATTCTATATCCTGTACATTGTCGGGAATCCTGGATTTTTGCGGGATCTCGTGTATTCTCGGGAATCCTGCATAAACTCGAGAATCTCGAATATTCTCGGGAATCCCGGATATTTTCGGGAATCCCGCACACCCCTATATTAAACATTTCTCGGATCTACGCTTTTCTCATCGATAAACATTATTTGAACTCACAACGAACGTGCTTACAGAGGACACGTTCGTTTCATGTATCCTGCGTTAGTTTTTCTTTACATCGCGACAGTTTCAAGCTAATGAAATCTAATGAAGCTAATGAATCTTTCATAACATCGTAGCAAGTCGTAGCAAATGAAATCACGGTTAACGGTTTTGCGTTTTTACAGCCAGCGCCGAATTATTGAGATCGAGATGGACGTCCTTAGTACATACTACGCGTTGCGAGTATGGACGATTTTAGCGCCGACAGCCCTTGGCATTATTCTTTTACTAGCAAATATTCCTCTATTCAGGCCCGATATTATCGATCGTGAGAACAGAATAAAATCGATACCTCCTTCAGAGATTAAAGACAGCTATCATTTCATTATAATCGGGGGTGGTTCAGCTGGCTCGACATTGGCTCATCGTTTAACAGAAGACAGAAACACGACGGTGCTTCTGTTGGAGGCTGGCAACGATGAACCACCGGTAACCGACGTGCCTTTCATGTATGAGGTTATACTGAACACGCCTATAGATTGGCAATTTAAAACGGAACCAACGAACAAGTCGTGTCTGGCAGAGAAGAACCACCAGATCGTTTGGTCCAGAGGCAAGGTACAGTAGAACATCCATTGTAGGTAGATTAAAAGAGTACTCTTTTCTTTTTGGTCAAACAATACATTTTTTTTCCATACATTTTTGCTGTTTAAGATTTTGAATATACTTCCATAATATAATAACTAGGGGTGTGTGGGTTCCCGGTCGGGACGGGAATTCTTCCCGGGATCGGGATGGAATCCCGAGAATTTCAACATTCCGAATACATCCGGGATTCCCGTGAATTTCCGGGATCCCGAAATCATTCGGGATTCCCGAGAATTTCGAGATCCCGTAAATGTTCGGGATTCCCGGGAATTTCGAAATCCGGTACATTCGAATTGCTGAAATTTTCAAGAATAACAACACTTTCGGAAATCCCAGATATTATTCTATATTCCGTACATTCTCGGGAATCCCGGATTTTTGCGGGATCTCGTGTATTCTCGGGAATCCCGAATCAACTCGAGATCCCGCATAAACTCGAGAATCCCGAATTTTCTCGGGAATCCCGCACATCCCTAATAATAACCCTTTGACTGCGAAGGGGGTATGTATAATATATACGCCCTCGAGAAATGGACTCGGAGAAATATTTATATTCGTTAAATCCATTTCTAGAAAATATCAGCCTATAGGAGGCGATGAGACGAAGCTTTTTTATATTTACAGTTTATTCATAGGACGGTTAGTTTCGAAAATAAAAATTGAGAAGTTAGAAGTTTCCTGCAAACCTTGAATTTCAGGAAAGAGGTCTTTGAAGTTTGAATGTTTATCTATTAAACTAAACGTCGTATGAAGAAACTGTAAATATGAAAAAAGTCTCGTTTTGTCGTTCTCTATACGGTGAAATTTTCGTTAAATTCGATTGTTTAACTGTTGTTTTTCCTTCTTTAAAGTACATGTTTCGCCGTTTAGAAAATGAAACGAGCTTTCGGTTAAGTTTCAATTCTTTTTCAATATCTATGCAAATATAAATATGCATAAACATACACAGTTTAGAGTTTTGTAAACAGAAATATTGCGATTATCGAGGTTCCATTGGCCTAGAGACGAAATTTCCTAGATATTTACACCGCTATTCGTTCTTTAGTCAACATGCTTAATAAAGTAACAATTGTTAAAGTTAATATTTGACGAGAAAATATGAAATTTACCAGGCCCTGGGAGGAAGCAGTGTGATAAACGGGTTGATGTACAGTCGTGGCAATAGAAAGGATTACGACTACTGGGCGGAGCAGGGTAATCCAGGATGGGATCACGAGAGCATCTTCAAGTACTTCAAGAAGTTCGAAGACATGAGGATCGATGAATTCAAAGGATCACCTTACCACAGTACCGGTGGTCCCCTAACCATAGAACACTATAGATATCGTACACCTATAACTGACTACTTGCTGAAAGCAGGCACGGAAATTGGCTACAACATCTTGGATTATAACGGAGCTAAACAAACAGGATTCGCTCCCTCGCAAGCTACGTTGAGGGATGGTCTGCGTTGCAGCACTGCGAAGGCTTACATTCGATCAGCTTCGAAGAGGGAGAATCTGCATGTTAGCCTACAATCTTACGCGGAGAAGATTTTGGTACGTGAAGGTGAGTATGCGTGCTGCTATTACTTCTATCACTCTTTCGAAAACCTTCCATTTAGATCTGGTAACAAGTCTTGTAAGTTGTAATCTATCTAACTCGACGCTCTACATCTTCCTATACCCTTTTTCCTCGAAACGAACGCAAGGAGATTCACGAGTGAGTGTGGTATATTTGTTTATTTTACAACTTCTAACTTGGGAAAACTGTAAATATCGGAGTGTGAACAGTGTTGTTTACTTTACATGAAACGGTATTCAGCGACATTGTAGATGTAAATCCCATAATTTGGACTCAAAGTATACACAGAACAATATTTTCTTAACGAAGTTATGAACTCTGACTAGGACGTGTGTGGGCAGATCTAAGATAAAAATATGATTCTTTCAGGATAAAGAAACTACAACCCTTGTTGGAGATTATATTTCTTCGTTATAGCTTCATAGGTGAAACACCTTGGAAGGTAGCCTGCAAAATAACCAGAATATAAACTTGACCTTTTCCATTCCCTTTTTTCTCGACTGAACTTATAACACAGACATACGTCGTCCTCAAGTTATTCGACTATTTGTACTTGCAGAAGGGGGCAAGAAAATTGCATACGGAGTGCAATTCCGTGTGGATGGAGCGCTGAAGGAGGTGAAAGCTGATCGCGAGATTATTCTATCGGCTGGTGCGATACAATCTCCGCAATTGTTGATGCTGTCTGGTATCGGTCCTAAGGAACATTTGGAAGAAGTAGGAGTGCCCGTGGTGCACGATTTGCCAGGGGTGGGTCAACATCTTATGGATCACGTGGCGATGGGTGATTTAACGTATTTGGTGGATCCACCAGAGGACTACAACGGTTCTCAACCTTTCACATTTATTGTACCAGAGAATATTAACCCAACGACAGCCTTAGAATTCAACGTTCAGCATAAAGGACCTTTTTACTCATTGGCAACCGCTGAGTCGTTGGCGTTTATCAATACCAAGTAAGTATTCTGGAGATCTATCACAAGCCAGGCGTCGAAGGCTCAAGCTTTGGAATTGATTAGGTTTTAATATTTATTTAGTTTAAATATACGGGGTACGTGCAATTAACGTCGGAGAGAATTCTATTTCAATTCATATAACCACAGCCATCTAATGACAACAATTAAACCTAATATAAGATTACGTAAAACAAAGAAAATTCTATTCCAATTCATTATTTATGATAACACGACAAGTAGAAATATGTTAACTCAATGTTAACGTGCGCGCACGAATAGGTCACGAATATCTATGCAAACAAAAATAAACAGTCTTTAAAAAAACATTCAAGTATATCAATGGTTAGCCTTCGTTCATTAGACTAAGATAAAATTTTTGTATTAACATATCGTGTTTGTTTCACTTTCAGATATGCGAACGCGTCGGAAGATTACCCTGACATACAGTTTTTCATTTCCGCATTTTTCGATTATTCTCACTCCTGCCTCGATGGGCTTTCGCACGCGGAAAATAAGTTCTATGGGGAGTGGTGTTCGAGTATGTTTAATCGGCATTCGTACTGGATCAAGCCAGTCGTAATGAGACCCAAAAGCAGGGGTTACATCAAGTTGCGCTCGAAGGATCCGAATGATCATCCGATTATCGATCCTAATTACTTCGACGATCCTCATGACATCGATGTCTTGGTAAGAAAACTTGACAAATTCAATAATTACAAATAGAACGTGATAAGTACTCTGCGAATGTTTATGCATTTATGTATAATATATATTATATACATTATATTATATTATATATATCATATATATATTAATCTACATAAAAATGAAACTTGGATGGCAGTGACTAAACCGGGAGATAAAAGAATATTAGACACAAAGTGGGCCTATACAAAAAAATCAGAATAGCCGATAGCAAAAATGCAAACTCGTATAATTCATATATAGCTTATAAGAACTGTATAGAAAAATTTGGAAACGATCATTCGACCGGTCGTAGTAGGTTTAGTGTTAATGTGATGAATTTCTAAATTAACAGATAGAAGGAGCGAAGATTGTCCATCAACTGAGCGAAACCCCAACGATGAAGAAATTGAACGCTCGAGCGCACATAAATCCTGTCGACGAATGTTCGTCATTCGAGTTCATGTCGGATGACTTTTTGCGATGCCATGCTAGGTATCACACGATGACGTATAATCATGCATCAGGGACATGCAAAATGGGTCCCAAGGAAGATTCCATGGCTGTGGTCGATTCCAGACTAAGGCTGCACGGTGTTTCTCGACTAAGAGTGATCGACACTTCGATTATGCCTAGGCTCACTACTGGGAACACGAACGCACCGACGGTTATGATCGCCGAAAAGGGTGCTGATATGATCAAAGAAGATTGGGGAATAAAGAACTAGTTTCCGCAAAGCCTTTTTTAAATTAAAAATAATCACCGCCCAATTAAGTATGATTAATTTGACTAAACTCTAAAATGGTCCACAAAACCGTCCCATTTTACGTGGCACGCCTACAATGTATCACGATTGAAAACTATCCACAACCACCACGAGACTTTCCTCCACCAAGCCAGCCGGTGTTGTGCTCCATGCACACATATATCCGAAATGTGAACCGCGACATGCTTCACTTCCTCGGTTAAACTAGCATAACTCGCTGGTCGGGTAACCGAGTGGTGTCTGAAAGAAGGAGACCAGTAATTGTATAATAAACGTGGATTGTTACAGTAGTGGCAGGTAAGGCGCGAGGCAACGCCGAAACTAACGCATTGCTTTCGTTCCGTCTCGTATCTACCATTCTTTTTTGTTCCATCTCTTTTTTCCTCCCCGCGTGCAAATTTTCAAACTCCAGAGACTCGTTGTTTGTTTCGCGACTATTATTATAAGCCAAAGTACAGGTTCTATCGCGACACCGTTAATTCATGCAACGTCCACCATCAGAGGTCGATGCCTATCGAGAGTAAAAGTCCGTTTTCGATATCGACCACCTGGTATCGTCGATCGAACGGACATGCAAAAGTAAAGGGAATTTCGCGATCTGTTTGTTGTGCCAGTGCGAGCTCCAATGGCTGGTTAATTGGTGAAGTTAAATCGGCGCTCGATGGTGCTTACATAAGTGAGACGAGTAAAAGTTCGGGAGATGGTACGGATATTGTTACGCGGGATTTCTTAAACGGTGGTTCGTGTATTGTAATCGCTGCGCAGAAGATGTTCAGGTAATTGACCACGCTTTGATGCAATTTCATTTTTTTATACTTCGCGAAACGCCATGCAGACAGACATTTTTACTACTTCCTTGGTTTCCAATAGTGTTTCGTGTTTGCGGTGTGTTTGAACGAGTAACGATTTCGGAATTGGAAGAATGTAGGTCCGCATATGCGTGGAATTAGCTTCGTAATAATTATTGCATATGCACGAAGAAGACTACGTTCGTATTATTTTTTGTGTGATTAAAATTTAATCACTTCTCAGGCTTTCTAAATCTAGAAATATTTATTTACATCAGAGAAAATTAAAGTATGAATACCTTTTGCAATGTTTCAGGAATTAAGCAAATTTAGTCGTAGCTAAATTCCGGTTGAACTTTCTTTCTTGAACATTATGATTAAAGATAGACATTTTCTTTGCTCCCCATAAATTTTTCTTTATGCAACCTTCAAACGCGGAGATAACTTTAATAATGAATTGTGACGTCATCGTAGGAGAGTACATCAGCCTAAGAGTATTGAAATATAAATAAACTATTTTCTAGAAAATTTTAAACCGTGCAAGTATCTTTCGAGGCTATAAAAGTCTTCGAGGCTACTTTCAGTTTTCAAAATTGTTACGTATTCCTACGCAACAGTCAAAATTTCTCACGATGTGTTTCATCGTAATACTGTCCGACGAAAGTAGAAACATCACTTTCACTCCGTAATTTTCATCACAAAATCGCGAGGAATTGTTGAAACGTTAACTTGTTTCAGTTAGCAGAATTATTTTGATTTTGTAATCGTAGTTTACAGGAAGGTAAAGTTCTCCACGGCTAGCATTAACGAACAGAATTTATAGCGTCAATTTATTTGCCCAGACAAGAGATATAGATAAAATGGAAATATTTCAATATCTCTTACATAGACCAAGTTCCTATACCGTATAGAACGTACGTTCTGTTCTAATAACTCTGCATAACAATTAACCTAATCCGTTCATTAGTCTGTCGAGTAATTAGTTCGACAATAATACCTGTCGAGCAGTTCAATAATAAACACAGAGAAATTATCATAAATTTAACTTGATTATAACACCTAATGTACCAGTCTTACATTTCTTCGTCCTTATATTAATGTAATTCTTACTTTACATTTGTATTTGCTTATGTAGCGTACTCGAAACATTTTCAAACTTATTTTTTTCGAAAATAAAGCGTCATATGAACAAATTTTATTTTACATTTTCCATCAGTCACGACGCACTCTGAACATCTCTCTTCATAATCCTCTCATTAGAGATGCCAGGAGTCTATTTAGCCTCCTATTATAGCTCGGGTACCTCGGGATCGCTAAACCCGTACTGTAGCTACGATTAAATATAGCTACAGCCCCTGAGGGTTGCCACTTTGAATTATTATTTCCTCCAAACAACATCATTTCTCCCTGAAGAAACATGTGACTGGCAAACGCTCCAGTTCGAGGTTGAAATTTATTGGCGGTACATCGATCGAACGAAACAGCTAACAGTGACACGAAATTGAAAAAGTTTGGGAATTCCTTGTCTAGTCCGACTAGACGAACTGCTGAGAAACCCCAGTAATCCATCGGCCGAGTATTCGCAACACGAAAGAAGATGATTCATGGGTAGATCGTTATTGCACAAACCACATTTCGCAGCGTCAGTTTTGCTGAAAAGATGGTGGCGAGTAACTCTTGCGCGAGGCTCGCACGTGAGGCATTATTTTCACAGAATTGATATCTGATTCTCTCAGTCGCACTCGGCGTGGAGGAGTAGCAGATTTCTATTTCTCGTTCCTCTTATATTTCGTCCTCAATTTTGCAAGAGAGAGTAAATCTCGTATCAATAGAATCCGACTTCCAAGTGTTGGTAGATAGTTAACTACATCCGATCATTTTATCTGCTACGTCAATTTGCTCAACATCCTTTCCAAGGGGTGAACGTAGTTCTCGAGGTTTCAAAATATCTTTGTTGCTCGAAGCATCGTCAGAGAAGTCAGTCCTAGGACGCGAGAAGTGACGCACTTTGACGTCATTTTGATGATAACCCGATACTTTCTCTTTGAAAATATATACACCTATTTATAATTCCATCAACTAACAGTGTTAGTCTTGATACCCTTTGGCGACTCGTTTTAACGATACTTCCTCTCGTGAATTAATTAGGGATCGTTTCTTTCTAACATTATGCTAAACTTGTTATGTCGTTTGCTAAAGATTATTGTGTGTGTGGAGGTTGAGTTTGTCTACGATATTGCATTTATTGATATTAAGCCTTTCAAAAATACAATATCATTGATGATGACATTTTCAGTGTATTTTAGATGTTCGATATAGGAATGAATGTATTTGGTAATTATGCTTCCAAATTTGTTATATATTATCTAGTTCTATGTATATATAAATTATAGAGAACAGTAAACTGGTAAGGTATTACTTATATAATAAAACTTGTATAACCTTTATACATATATATAATTATACATTTATTATTATTATGTGAATGTATATATACAGTTTATATAAGATTACACATATATATTTTAAATATAATTTACATAAATTAGCGACAAGGTAATACTCACATATGCACACCCTCCTATTTTATTTTATTAAATATATTTTCATTCACCTTCGTAACTCGCAGGTCGATATCGAGAAATTCACGATCTAGTCCCATTTGGAAACGCTTCCCACGTTTCGCTCGTATCGAAATCGACTTATGAAATGATCTGATACGCATGTTCTATCGCAACGGCCCAGGTGAATTAAACTTCTACTTTTCGCGAGTGAAACCGCGTCGACGCGATTCGCGCGCGTCTGGCCCTTTGTTCCCGACACGTGCGCGCTGCTCGTTTTTCGGTCCCTCGGTTTCTTGGCATCGTCACTTTTTCGCTGGTCGTACCAGCGAGGGAGTCGATCCTCGCCGCACGTAGAGAGTGGATTCCAACTGCTCCGCGACGCGAACGAAATTTTCGATCCCTTAGTTCCTTTCTTACTGGACGCGTTCACGGTCCACCGTCGCGTCCAGCCATAGGAAAAATTTCGTTTTAATAATTAAAGCGACGGATGAAAGCTGCGCGTTTATTAAAATTTTGCTATTTTATTCGATGGAACAAACTTTTTCTCGTAAACTTGAAAAACCACATGCGTAATTCGAATCGCAATTTTTATCGAACGATCACGAAGAATAGAGTTTGATCTGACTCGTCGTTTTGGAGTTGTCTATTCGGATGAGAATTTCGCTCGTTCGGGAAGAGAACATTGCGTTTACGAAGCATTCGGCGAATTCGAAAGGCGGAAGTATGTGATCTGTGTAAACTTGAACGAGAGGGTGATCGAAGCGATAGGAGTGAATTAGAATAAAAATGATCGCGGCAAGAATGTGGTGAAACTAGGTGGAGATCGTACTCTGGCCCGGTGAGTGCTACCTGTTGAACGTTTTGTTGAACTCGTTGGTTACGGAGCCCCCGATAATGGACGGTTCATCGTGGTAATGCATGTACATCTTCCTATTTTATTACTTCCATATACAGTGAATCCTATAAGTTCCATTATTTTTGTAATAACAATAGATTTTCGACTCTAAGCTTGAGTCATCTTTGACACAAGGAAAGAATATTTACAATAACAAAGGAATTAAAATGGACTTAAATGGATCCAAGAGAATTGCCAAGAAACGTGAATCAGCATTGTTATAATTGTTTGAACAAACAATTGCGGAAATGTTATTAACTGTATCAAGGTATGACCATTGAGAACGTAATGGGTCGTTCATATTTTGTGCTAGAGAAATACTTTATTCTAGCAGGTGTTCTTTCGGGCAGGAATCTTGCCAATAAAATACATTACCTTCGCTCGGAACAGGAACAAGTCTGGATTTCTGGCGAGAATTCAGTCTTACCTGCAACAAAGAATTAAAAGAAATTACAGTATTTATTTTCATACAGAGACAGAGTCGCATATTAACGCGGTAATATCTACCTTGAAGGCTGGAAATATTCACGAATGTATTATCAGTTTCAGAAAAAATAAATATTCCCATAAAAAAAAAAGAAGGTTAACATCCACATATGTGCATCCTCCGTTCTTGAAAAGTTCCCTCAACCGTAGGAGTGTTTAATTTTACAAAGTCGAACACGTGGATCATGTCGGGGTTTCGAGAACGAAAATATACACGCGTCTACTTACTCCAGGTTTCTCAGAGGGCCATGCGTGGTGCATGTGTGCATGAACCTTGAATTGTTTTTAATTTATACCGGTAGTAGGGAATTTTGTTCGTAGCTGGATCAAATGAAATAAATTTCAATGTCCGTTTCGGAGTGGAGTAAATGAACGTAAAACATAGCAACAACGTGAGTTTAAAGAATACATACAAGGTCATCATCCAAGTTTCATACATCGTACGAAGTATAAAGTTAAATCAATTTTTTAAAATGGAACCTTATATATTTTCATCTATAATAAGATTTGTTTAGACAAACTCAGGAAAATTAAAATATGTATGGTGTGTTGACCTCAGTGTTGATGAACCATCAGCCTCTAATTGTCTCTAAGGGTTGATTATTTAAGAAAAACCGTATGCAAAAGTCTTAGGTCTCCATATGAAGATACATTGCACTGAAATAAATCTATGTTAATGAAATAAATGTACAACGTACAATAGTGTTGGTGACATAAAATAGATAAGCTAAATCAAAATTTACACTCTTTCTTTAGCGATAAATAGCTAAAAGACGTAATGTGTAATGACTGGCCCAAGACTTTTGCACAGTACTGTACATGATTCGCACAAAAGCGACGGAGGCGATCCTGAACTGACCCTCAGCAGCGGATCTCTCAGACTGGTCCAATCCCAGCGGGGTGTCTAAGTTTGTTCTTCCAATAACACTTGGCTTGGCTTCATTTCGCATGACGTGTACCTCGAGTGGTTCATTGACTGGATGACGTCAGGCGTCGGCTCTTTCTCCGGAAGAAAGCGAATGTTCTCGCCAACATACGCCGCGAGCTCTTTAATTAGCGAGTCTAGCATAACCGCGGCCACGGATGCGGCTTCTGCCAAGGCGAATCACACGGACGGGATAGACGAAACGTTCGTGTAGTCGTGCCATCGAGCATCAGCTTTCACGCAGACCGGTGCCTCGTTCAGCTGTCCCGGATCAGCTCTTTCTTTGTGCTCCGAACGAGAGGACTCTGGCCCTCGCTCCAGCCACCCAAATGTCTTCCAATTGTCCACCAAGAGCCATCGACGTCCTCCTTCGCGAGCAGTTCCACTCTGGACGGAATTTCAGGTGAAACTCACCCTTGATTTTCCATCCTTTTTTACCTTTGACTTCGACGCGTGAGATGGGCTACTACGAGCTTTGTTTTCTCGATGAACAGGTCAGACTTCGACGAGTGAAGTTTGTTTTATCGATGTGAAATAATAATGGAAGTGAAGTGGTACGTGCGTGTGTTTATTTTGGAGGTCGTGTATTAAGATTTGTCGTATTTATACTAATTTTCATTCATCTTATGCACAGTGAAACTCTTGGAGTTGTTTGGCACAAAGTATTTCATTGTAATACGTGATCTTTTGTGGGATTAAATATAGAATTGTTTCTTTAACGTAATACAACTTTTCATTTATTAATATATTGTGTACTTTGGATAAAAGTTATTTGGTACAAAGTGTTCCATTCGAATACTTGATTTTTATGGAATTAAATAGAGAACTGCTTGCAACTTTTCGTTCATTAATATCTTGTGTACTTTGGAGCACTAAAAGTTATTTGGTACAAAGTGTTCCATTCTAATACTTGATTTTTTGATTAAATAGAGAATTCCTTACAACTAGTGCAATACAACTTTTCGATCGTTAATATTTTGTGTACGGTGAAGCACTAAAAGTTATTAGCTAACCCTATCTTAACTTAAATTTATAAAACATGATCTATTGATGTTCGATTCTTCACTTTCATAGGTGCAATAGATTCTTTTATTTAAACAAAGAGTTTTTCGAAAGGTCTTGCAAGATTTAGTCTTCTAATAACAAAGTAGCTGTAGCAAACAGTTAACCATTCTAGTAAAAGTAAGAATGATACTTACCATATTCAAGAAGCAACATCTAACAAAATAAAAGAAACATGAATCAATCCCAAATTTATTTCGCTACTTGTCGGAAATCGCACTCATAATGTTTATTTCATTTCACGAGACAGTAGAGAATATTAGAATAGCGCTCGCGATCGGGGGATCCAGCGATCGAGACTTTCACGTGAAAGGGAGCCCTGGTTGTTTTGTTATTTTCAATAATCGCTGGGTTTGAGCACAGGCCTGACGTCTAAACGAGCGTGCTAAGCTGCTTTTACTTTCCGAGTTAGCACTCGCGAGGACGTTTCAGCATCGACGAAACAACGTTGATTCCGTTTTCGTTCGAGTCTCGGGTGAAACTGTAATTCGATTCGTTTCGTTTCGCAAGCGTATGGACTTTCACGCTGAAAGGATTTCACGCTGAACAAATTTCACGTTGCTACGAGTACATTGTAATGCTTCATAATTTCTCTGACGTCACGATTAATTCGTGCACGAGATGTATCTCGTTAATGGAAGCAACAGAGGACTTCATTTCAGCGAATTATTAATCCTCGCCATGGATCATCTCTCACTGTTCAAGAATTATAAACACAATTAGATTTTTGTTATTTGTGCATCCATTAGGTAATTAAGTATCAGATTAAATCACTTTTTAACCCTCCACTTTTGCGATGAAAAAATATGCGTGATCAAGTGGGAACAACGTGAATAGGTCCAAGTGACTTGTACTGAATTTAGGAAAAAAAATTCGGTACCAGAAGTCACGAATGTATTGTATTGTTTTCATGAAGCGTTACAGGAGGTATAGTATCTATAATTATCGAATAGAAAGTTTAATGTTGGTAGTGATAAAGAATTTCGTAAAGGGGGGTTTGGTATTTTGCTTTTCTGATGATCCTACAAAATAACATACAAATTCTATAAAATTGTCTAAAATAAAAAATTCAATTTTCTACAAATTATTATATTAATTCTAAACCTATGAAGGTCTCAACTGGTCCCACACATTCTTAAATTATTTATACCTCGTTTCGCTTTGTTCACTGATTAAGCTCAATTTAATTATATCTCGCCAACCTGTTATTCGTTCTACCAAGTTAAATATAAGAAAAACGAGAGATGTATACACCTTATTCGGAAGTAGTAACACATTACAATAAATACCAGTTTGAAATAACACGATGCAAAAACAAGTCCCAAATTGTATGCTTCTCCATTTAATAAACAAGTAAAAATTTATCGATAGCTTCAAACGAGCTGTTTCTTTTATTACCCGTGTCCAATCGTATATCTCGACTGATCTTCAGACAAAGAATCTTCAGAAATTTTTCAACGAATAAAAAACCACGAGCGTGGAACACGATTATTAATTACGATAACACGTTTCAACGATAAGGGGAATCGAGTTCGTCAGAAGTTTATCGAGCAAATTACATACAATTACATAGTTTGCTGTAGCTGTTAAGCTCGAGGGATTCTTAATTAGACACGCGTTTACCGTGACGATTGCAACTCGAATCGGTGGTTTTTGTTCGCAGGTGACACTGGCCTCTAATTGGATACAATGGGACGGTACATCCTGTTCTCCCTTCTGGCGCAATTGGCGTTCGCTTTTCACCACCCGTTCCAGGTAATCAGACTTGCGTAGATGTGTGCAATTAAAAAAATATTGCTTGCAAATGTCGCGAAAATTGACAGAGTATCCCATCTGTTTACAGTTTTAACGATGCAACGAGATTTGCTATTTCCTTTATCAAACAAATTTTGGAAATCGATAATTTGGAAATTGAATTAGTTATGGTCGGAAGTGTTTCATTATTTCAAATAAGAAATTAGCGTTTTACAAGCGATTTTATGAAATAATTGTACAACATAGCATTAAAATGAAATGAATCGAATAAATTTGACGCGAATAAAAATTCATTCGTTATTCCAAACCTTAGATAGTGACACAGATCTATTCTACTTTCGCTTAGTTCACGACCTTAAAAGTTGCTCGACCTTTGGGATTATTTTTGGAAAGAACTATCAAGCTAACCAATTTCAAATTTTGCGTCTACATTTATTAACCTTTCCTTCGCTGGAATTTTCTCAAATAAAAATTATTCTTTACGAAAATATCTTTCGACTGTCTACTCTACAAATTCTTGAGGAAAACTGTCTACAAACCATGCAAACCCTGACACAGTAATCCACCATGGGAATCTATAAATAATATAAGGAAAACCGAAATTGGCATTTACATACAAAAATTTATTTGACTTTAAACCGTTTCGCCAATTATAGGATCACGAATGCGGGCGTTATCACGCGGCACAAGGTTATTCGCAATTATTTAACGTTGCAACGTGTCTGGATTTTGATCGCCGAGACAGTCAGTGTTCTGATGTCGCGCTTCGAGAATTTGTCTCTTGAGACACGGCGGTGTCTCGTTTACCTCGTGATCGCCATTTATTCGGTACTCCCGAAAATTCAATATACAAAATCTTCGTCTTCGTTGGTCTCAAAACTTAATTTCATTGAAATAAGTAGGCTTAACAAGCGTAAAAAAATTTCTGAACGTTTTTACAGTGTCGATTTAAATTTAATTAATAAAGAAAATGTATCAGGCGTAGGAATTAATTCTGTGTCCTTCTAAAGTAAACGTACGATTCGTTTAAATATCATTTGATAATATGTGACTAATTATTCAAAAGCTTTCTGTAATCTTTCCAAGTGAATACTAATTCCTCTTTACAATTACAATGAAATTTATGTATTAAGTTCGTTAATGAAAATCGAACAACCACTGTCGAGGCCAGCAAAGACAATCGTAATCGTCCTGGAATACATATCTCGAGTAAAAAGTAAACTGGAATTTTTTCAATTTGCATCAATTTCGTAACCGAGGGACACGGTGTAACGAAAAATTACGCCACGCGTAGTAAGGAGAAAACGATTTAATTAACGAGGTCGTTAACTAGTTCCAGCCAGGCCAGTTTGATACTACCAAGGAAACCAAAGGATGTTGCAATTGTGAATTCAAAGACACGGCGTACTTAGAGTCCAAGTGCGGCGTGACAAACTCGTTTATGACTTTAGTTCAAAACTTGATGGCGCTTAGGTGTGATATTTCGGATCCCTGCAGCAGGCTTGGCCGGGACGATGTTCCTCACGAGGAATGGTAAGAATACGAAATGATAGTATTTAATATGTATTCGGCTGTCTGGAAAGTCCATGCCGATTTTTAGTAGACGGTACAGGTCTGATTATGTCGGAATGGCTGAAAACATACATTCTATAAAAGGTGGAAAAGTTGCGGAACAAAATGATACATATATATAATTCAATAAATATACATCAAAATTCAAATATGTCTTTGAATTTTTCTTAAAAATATGCACGATCTTTCCGGACAACCCAATAATGTTAATATTTCCTTCAGGCGAAGTCAGTTCTTATCGAATTTAAAATAATCAGTAAATATAATACATCATTAAAAAAAATCAATATAATTTATCGAAACACTTTAAATTACGTACATTTCGTAATGTCGTAATACTTGTGAAAGAAACCTCGATCTCTGACCAAATTTGTCAAATGAATTACGTTAATTTTTTACGAGGCATTATATTCTCTACTTATTGGTACTAGTTATCAATTATATGATCAAGAAAACTAACATAAACGCAGGTTCGACTTTATCATTGTCGGGGCCGGTGTAGCTGGACCCGTAATCGCTAGGAGGTTGAGCGACAATCATTGGTGGAAGGTCCTGCTGATCGAAGCGGGTCCTGAGGAGCCATCCATGACTGCCATTCCAGGACTCGCGACTCACGCGGTAAATTCGAGTCTGGATTGGAAATTCAAAACGGAACCTACAGAGCCTCATCCGACCGCGTGTTTAGGTATGCGAATTCTTAAGGGTGCGCAGAAGTCAGAATTCCGAATTGACTTCAGCGACAGTCGCGGAAAAAGTAGGAAACTCCGGGACAAGGACAGGGCGATTGGGCTAGCATGATTTCTTTTCCAGGATATTGAAGGAAAGAAGCAATATTTTCTAATAATTTTGGTTTTAATATATTCGTATTATACTTTGGCGGATGCGACTCCAAGGCCTGATTTTGCAATTTCGCCCTTAAAACTTTATAAACAATAAAATGAAGATAGCAAACGTACTTTTATTGTTTATAAAGTTTTAAGGGTGAAATTGCAAAATCAGGCCTTGGAGTCGCATCCACCAAAGTGTAACGAATATATTAAAACCAGAATTACTAGAAAATATTGCTTCTGTGCTTCAATATCCTGGAAAAAAAATCATGCTAACCTAATCGCCCTGTCCTCGTCTCTCCTGCAATTGTTGTATCGCCCTCTCTGTCCTTGTCCCGGAGTTTCCTACTTTTTCCGCGACTCTCGCTGAAGTCAACTCGGAATTCTATTCTGACTCCTGCGTACCCTTAAGCCTTACGATTGATGAATTGAGGAATTGATGAATTGATCTCTAGAAACGGAAGGCGTGTGTACGTGGCCTCGAGGGAAGATGGTCTCCGGGACCAGTGGCATGCACGGAATGATGTACGTGCGCGGACATCCAGAGATCTACAACAGCTGGGCTAGATCGGGTGCCCACGGCTGGTCTTACGACGAGATCGTGCATTACTTCGAGCGCGCTGAAAATCCCGTAGATCCCTCGATGCTATCCGACAAACCGAGAACCGTCCCTATACCAGGCCCCATGAAGATTCAGTATTACCCTAACAAACCGACCTTCGCTGACCAAGTACTGAAGGCGGCCGACGAGCTGGGCTACCAGACGTCCAAGCTGAAGGAGTACACGCAGACTGGTTACATGATCGCCCCGATGACGACCGAGAATGGTCTACGCGGCACGACTGCGAGGAGTTACCTGAGACCAGTTCATGGCAGAAGGAACCTGAGGGTTTTGATCAACGCACACGTCACGAAGGTTCTTATTTTTTTTTTTTTCATTTTTAACGATACCTTTGGTTATTAGGGACTTTCATTAGATCTTGTTTTTATTGTTAGACTTCTTTTAAGCATTTTTATTTCACATAACAAATATTCTTCGAATGTCAATGTTTTTTATATGCGATAGTAGACATTGTAAACCAATGAATTATTCGTAGATAAATGAAACTTGTCCTGGTTTTCTAGGACAAGTTAAAACATTCTTAAAACATTCAGCAGAGTACAACATATTGTAATTATTTAGTAATATTTCACCATATCTTTAAGCGATCAAACTTCCAGAGAAGTTTTGAGAAAATTCAAACGTCCATCGTTTTGTTTTATTTTCGAACGAAGGTGTTTGGTCTGGTATTTTAGTAAACAAATTCTGTTTATTAGTTCAACGTGCCTATTATTATGTATAAAAACATTGCCGCGTCACAATTATTTGTTACATAAAATAAAAATTGTCCAAAAGGTGACCCGTTCAAGGTGGTTTGGAGTAATTCTATTATCGTTTTAATATCGAAGGTCCTGATGAACCACTGGGACAGTAAAGCGTACGGCGTGGAGTTGATAGACAAGAACGGTTTCAAGAGGGTGGTGAAGGCCAGAAAAGAGGTGATCCTGACAGCTGGGGCGGTCGGGTCACCCCAGATCCTGCTCAACTCCGGAATAGGACCCAAGGAACACCTGACCAAGCTGGGCATGCACGTGGTCAAGGATCTGCCTGTAGGCAAGAATCTACAAAACCACGTGTCCGTGGCGCTTTATTTTAGTATCAAGGACACTGCCTACGAAGCCATGACGATGGATAGCGTGAACGAGTATCTGGAAACCAGGTCTGGTATTCTGACCAGCACAGGGCTCACCCAAATAACAGCGTTCCATTCGAGCATCTACGCCACCAGTGGGGTACCAGACATTCAGATCTACTTCGACGGGTTCTCGCCAAAGTGTCCAAGAACAGGGCTGTCGTTCGAGTGCCTGAACGGTGCCCTTGCACTTTGTTCCGATAGAAGAGAGATAGTGATGAGACCGACGGCGGTCACCATAGCCAGTAAAGGGGAACTGAGGCTGCGATCAGCTGACCCTCTAGCTCCGCCACTGATTTATCCTAATTATTTTACCGATACGAAGGACATGCTTGTTCTACTGGAAGGGATCAAGAAGTCTATTGAACTTATGAACACGCAGACGATGAAGAACTGGGATCTGAGATTGGAACCTGTGATCCACCCTCTTTGCACCAAGTAAGCGTTTTGGATTCTCAGGTGTTCGAAATTTTGGGGAAGATTGCGTATGACAACGTGGGATTTAAGAAGGAGGAAATGGTGTTTGAAGTTTTCTCTGAAAGTGATTCAGTGAAGATTCAGAAAAGATTGATTTACTTGTGGTTGATACTATTAAGCAAGGGTTGAAAGATTCAAAAAATAATTCTGACTGAAGGAGTAAGATTTGTTCAATGTTCGCCAAGATAACAGTAATATTAAAGTTTTAAAGGTAATAATACTTCTAGATACGTATAAATACAAAATTACCTAAAATTGTTTGATTCATAGTCGAAGCTAAATGGGGTAAATACTAAAATTACTTCAAGGGTAAATCAATGAAGGATTTATAAAAATTATTTCAACAACAGAACAAGACAATCTTTTTATGAAGACTAGGTTAAATATTTGAAACACACTAAAAGTAAAAGAATGAAAAAATTCATAGAAATTATTTGAACAGGAGAGCCAGAGAATCTTTTTCTAAGGATGAATGAGTTAAATTTACTCCATCAGCTAATCACTGAAACATTCACAAAATAACATTGCATTTAAACAACATCTTTTTCTTCTTCAGCTACCACTTCGCCAGCGACGCATACTGGGAATGCTACATAAGGGCCGCAACGGGGCCCGAGAATCACCAATCAGGAACTTGCAAAATGGGTACCTACAACGATCCAGCAGCAGTCGTGGATCCTCAGCTTCGAGTGCGCGGAGTGTCGAACATTCGCGTCGCCGACGCTTCCATATTCCCAATTGTGCCAAACGGAAACCCAATCGCCGCGATCATGATGACGGCCGAAAAGGCGGCCGACATGATCACGCATACGTGGTCGAAGAAGTGAACTTGGACGATCAATCTTTCACGTACTTTTCTTGGAACGTTTAAATAAAGCTACTATTTTTTATCGTAAACTCTGATATTCACCTCTGATCACCGACATCTTTCCTGGCGGTAGAATCGTTTTATGGTAATTTTTCGATGTATTTGTTCGGACTTTGAACCCTCAGCATTCAGAACGTGGATTTTGGGACACGGCAAAACGTAAACGTTTAACTTTCTAATGCTGTGCATTAAAATTACGATTTTATAATTTCGTTTAATTAAGATGCACGTCGTTTAGGAATGTATTATTTATGAACGAAGAAGATAAACCGAACGAGGAAAAGCTAAGAACTCCGCTTTTAATGCATTAGGCAAATCGAATGAAAGAGACGCAGAGAAAATTTTAAGTAGACAATATGGATTGTAACCGATATATAATATGCATTTTGTTTTTCTTTTGATTACTGGTTAACAGAAATTCTTCTTTATCACTTCAAATATGAATCGATAAAGCTGTGTATTTGTCTGAGAATCTAATACTTCTTTGTGAGCAATGAATAAGTACCATAAATACTTGCAACACGGTCATTCTTTGGAGTTTAACTATGGATTTTGGTTACGATTACGACACTTACCTGAAACAATAACGAAAAGTCATGTTAATGAGGAAAATCAAGTTTTATTTGAATTAAATTGCATTTAGTCGGTTCATGTATTTCAATTCATTCATTCAAAAAAGAATGTCTTCATTATTTTTCATCGAAGAAAGTATGCAAGATTTTAATTTGAAATTTTACACACGTTTTTATATTAGCATACTACGACTATTTATTTATAGTACACATAACCATACTGTTTCCCTAAATGCATCAAACTCCATACATTTTCAACGCAATTCAAAATAGAATTTTGAATTCCCCCCTTTGTATTACAGTGCAAGCGTACCGTAAAAAGCCTAATCATGTTTACCGTAACTGTTACCGTACCAAGCGTCCTCACTCCACTGATTGTAAATTCGTTATAATTCCTGTCAGTTACTATTCCAAATCTGACAAGTTCGATTTGACTTTGCAATTCCGTCATAGTCCACTCAGCGCATCAAACGGACCCCATCCAGTTCTCTTCGGTCCGTTCTTCCGCGACAATATCTAGTTAGTCGAAGTTAGTCCTACGTGAGTATTCGTTACTACATTCCGTCGACTTATTTTTATTTCTAGAGGCGGACATTCTCAGTTTAAGGTAATCTTGTTTTATTTCATTTATGCTTTGAAATTCGATTTCTGGTTTAAACTTCATTCCGAGTTTAAAATTGTTTGAAATCGTGCTTCGTGACACTGGTAAATAATTGAAGGAGTTAGGTATACTTAGCTTCGCGAATTTTTCTCTATATATGCTTGAAGATGTAGAACAAAAATTTTCATTCAAAAGTATACAGATTTCTATATATGTATAAATCATTGTTTGCGGTGAGCAATGTTACACGAAACTGGATTATCTGAAATTGGCCACATTTTATGTTGAGGGTCGTTACTCTTTTTTTCTAATTTTTAATCGGATCAACTAGAAATTTTCAGGGAATGTTCTTGAAATGTTGTAGGTTAAGAAACTACCACAACCAAAAAATGGCATCTTTTGAAATGTCTAGGTACCCTTAATCTCTTAATGGTAAATATTTTGTGTTCGCTATTTTAATTTTATATTTCGCTAAAAAGGTAGAATAAGTAATAAGTAGAGTAAATTATGGAATTATATAATTAATTGAGTGCCATAATAAATTATATAATAACGTTATATGGTTCCTATAATTGTAGAGATTAAAAGAAGAACATTCTTTTTTCTGTGTACATATTTTCATCACATTTACTGCTTTCTACACTCACGAGGAATACAAGGACTTTATAGTGCCCTCGACATTGGAAATACTTTCCACATGAATTAGTTTAGTTAGTAAAATTCTTCCTTGTTACGTAGTAAGTTTAACCTTCCATAGACTCGTGAACAAATACGACATCGGAATATTGGCTTAACTAGACATTGACAGAGAGACATTGTGATAAGTAACTATTTTGTATATTAGATGATAATATTGCATAATTACTAATGTCACGATTTTGAAATAGTAGATAAGATTAACACAAATTTGTAACGTGAATTAATTTCAGTCAATTAACTTATTTAAATTAAAAGACCTCAGATATTATTGTGGCTATCAGTTGTAAATCGAAATGATTAAATGTTACGTGAGAGAATGAAGCTATTAAAAAATGTATTTACAAAAGTTGCTCGGTATGATGTAAATACTTTTGTTGTAAATTGTTTTTTTTTTTTAAGATTTTCCAGATCTTTGGAGATCGCTCATACCTCCAAAAAATTTCTTATATTTTCGAATGAAAATTTTTATGTTACACCTTCAAGCATACATCTTTCGAATAGGGAACCATTGACTATAAAATACATCACCGGAGAATAGAAAAAAATTCATAAAGGAGCCCTACCCCCCTAATTGTTACGTGGAATGTACATACACGAATGAAAATTATGTCAGATCAAATAGTCCCGAATACCATGCCAGAGTTCAACTGCCTACTCGCTCGTAATACTTCGTCGAACATTCACCTATTGTTACAGATTTGCTTCGATTTGTCGCGTAGAGGAGCTCGCAATGAACACGTGTGCAGCAACAAGTTGCAGTGCCGCGCTATCGTCGCCGCCGCCCACTATTTTCGCTCAATTGGTGCAAACGATTCTTGCATCGCAGTGCACCTTGGGAAGCGGTGAGGGGATCTATCCAGCTGATCGTTCAGACGATGTTTCGTCTTCAAGAATGGAATTCGATTTCGTGATCGTTGGAGGTGGAACGGCGGGTAGCATTTTAGCCAACAGGCTAACCGAAGTAGAAGATTGGAACGTCTTATTGATCGAGGCTGGGGACAATCCAAGCATGGAAAGCGATGTTCCTGGTTTGACGGCAATCGTCATCGGTGGATATCAAGATTACCGTCACTTGGTACTCAAATTACAGTTTGTTAAGAAATCTTGAGATTCACAACTGAGCGCTAAATTGGGGAAATCAGAACCAATTAGTGCTGCTTTAGGTCTTCAGAAAGACCTCCGAAGTAGGGCTTCGACACGAGTAATGCTATATTAGTCACGGATAATAAGTGGACTTTGAACCGTTGTAGTTAAGCCTTATTCTTCTATCTTCTGTGCCAATAGCACAAAAATATTATACGAAGGACCAAAGAAATTTTTTTCCACTTTTTAGCTCATTTCAGAGATGAAAGCATTCTTAAAAATTGTTTGTTTGTACGTTTTTATATCGGATACTATATTATTCATGCGTAGACTGCGGATTTTATACATTTAAGACGTAAAATAATGAAGAATACATAAAATATACATAATGTACACCGAATATATTCTACAATTATTATGATAATATTATTACTTCATTTTGGACAGGTGCATATACCTTTTGGCTATGTTTAGCATCTATTCATTATACTAGTTAGAAAATATACATAATGTCCACCGAATATATCCTAAAATTATTATGATAATATTATAACTTCATTTTGCACAAGTGCATGTATCTTTCGGTTATCTTTAACACGAGTTGATTATATTAATTTATATCATAAACGCATAAAATCCGCAGTCTAGTCACGAGCAATAATTAGACTTCTAAATAGTTAACGCACTTGCCTTCATTTTCAGTAGCACTAAAAAATATATTCCAGAAGAAAACACTTATTTCCAACTTCCTATTTTCACTCTTCAACATGTTCTTTCATATATCCTTTTCATTAAGTCTGAATCACCAAAATACTCACATGGTCTCACGATACAAACCATATTTTTTTTCTCGACAAGACCGAACCCCAAAGAAACGTCTGCCAGAGCATGAAGAGGAAACAATGCGTATGTTCGATGGGCAAAGCGCTCGGCGGCAGTTCCGTCATCAACGCGATGATTCACATATTCGGTAACGACCGAGACTACAACGATTGGGTGAGAATGGGTAACGAAGGATGGAGCTACGAAGAGGTCTTGCCTTACTTCAGGAAATCGATCAGTTGTTCACCCGAACAGATAGCGATAACAGGGAGGAGGTACTGCGGTACCAACGGCCCCATGAAAATTAGGAGTTACAACGCTACTAACATAGAATTAATGAACACCATGCTAAACGGTGTACGCGAGATGGGACTAAACGTCCTGGAATCTTTAAATGGCGATCGTTACACTGGCTTTGGAAGATCTCTAGGTACGCTTGAGAACAAACGACGCAACAACTGTGCGAAAGCATTCCTGGCGCCCATCAAAGACAGAAAGAACCTGTTCGTGATGAAATCCACCAGAGTAGACAAAATCCTGTTGAACGGTAGAAGAGCGACTGGCGTGAGAGCCACCTTGAAGAATGGTAGGTCGATCGACATAAGAGCCTCGAAAGAAGTGATCATCTCAGGAGGCACTATCGGCAGTTCAAAGGTGCTGATGCTTTCGGGTATCGGTCCCAGGAGACACCTAGACGCGATGGGAATCCCTACGGTAGTCGACCTACCCGTCGGCGAGAATCTCCATGACCACATGATATGGGCAGGACTTCGCGTAGGGTACGTGAACAGGTCGTCCACTCTTCCACGTCCGACGGTCGCGATGGACGACACCTACGACTACCTGGTGCACAACGATGGATTGTTCACATCAGTCGGGGGGACCGACGTGATAGGTTTCGTCAACCTCTACAACTCGTCAGCAAGGTACCCAAACGTCCAGTTTCATTTCGGCTATATCCCAAGGTGGCGCACGGACATAGCAGCCACAGTTATAAGCAAGTTCAACGTCGAGGATGATCAGATACGAGAAATTCAAAGGCAGGTAATGGACTACGATATACTCGCGTGCTTTCCGGTTGTGTTGCAACCGAGAAGTCGCGGTAAGGTGGAGTTGCGCAGCACGAATCCGGCGGATCCTCCTAGGATTTATCCGAATTACTTTGGCGAGGCGGAAGACGTGCAAACGATGGTGAGGTCTGTTGAGACGTTGAGGGCCTTGGTGAACACGAACGCGTTTAGACGGCAAGGAATGAAATTGCTGTATACTAATATTCCTGACTGTGCGAATAGAACCCCCGATTCGAGGGAATATTGGGAGTGTAACGCGAGGCATCTCGCTGGCTCGCTGTTCCACTTCGTTGGAACAGCTAAAATGGGCCCTGTAGGCGATCGAACGGCAGTCGTGGATCCCAGATTGAGGGTGCACGGTGTCCTAGGGCTAAGGGTGATCGATGCTTCGATCATACCCAAAATCATCAGTGGGAACACTAATGCTCCCACTATGATGATTGCGGAAAAGGGGGCGAATTTTATTAAGCAAGATTGGTCTATAAGCACTCGCGGAGAACTATAAAAGGTGATTAAATCTATAAAATTGTAGACGCAAGTTTTGTAGCTGTTTCTGTCGATTTCGTTAAGCAAACAAAATCTATTTTCGAGGAAAATAAAAATGATGCGTCGACAACTACAATCCGTTATTCCAGTGTTTGGATGCGATTTGCCGAGTCGTACAAATTGTTTTCTAACACCGTTTAAACGTAACCGACAAAACTTAGGGACACGAGTAGAACGTGTTCTTCTTCGTTAAAATATATTACGCTGACTGAGTGAATTGTTTAATTTTAACGCTAAAATTATCGAGATCAATGGATACAATTCAATCAGGCACATTCATCGAACACAAACAATATATGGCTGCTGTAACATGTGATTAAATTGTAATGGAACGACTGTTTTATTTTTCGACGTTGAAAGCTTTTTAGTAATTAGCGACGAATCTGTGAAGTGGAGCACGAATAAATACTTGAATCAGAAATAAATAAAAACTAAAATGTGTTACTTCTATCCCTGATTTGCCACGACGATAAAATTATAGCGCCGACGAGAAAAGTCTCGTAATTGATGTGTGGTGATCAGATCTGTTTCAGGTAAGTGTCACGGATATCTGGCCGTGGAAAGTGAAAGAACGGTTTCTCCATTAATCGAGCGAGAAACCCCGCCGAATTTTTAGAGCTCGAGTGGCGGTGTGTCGTGAAAAAAGGCAGGAGGCACGTAATGTTTTGCAACCAAAGACTCTACGCAGATTGTCGTAGAGAGGGAAAGTGAGATGCCGTCTACGGTGACGTGCGAAAGAATATTTCTTTAAGAAGCAGAATCTAGTTAATAAATTTGTTATTCACCATCTGGGCTGGGATGTATATTATTAATTGAAAAGAAACAAACTTTATGGTGCGATTTGAGATGATTAATAAGTAAATCTAAGTCTGTACCCTAAAAGAAAAAGACTTTCAATGCATATCGTTATACACACGTTAGAAAAATGTAAGATATCAATTTCTTGTTAAAATATGTTATTTAGGATTCGAACAGGAAACTTCCACTTAACGTTCGTGTATTTGTACTGTTCTTAAATGTTATAAGTATAAAATTATACTGCATTGCATGACGGCGTATTATTAGATTGCATTGTCATGTCATATCAGTAAAAATAACGTGATAACGTTAACGTGATATACGTAATAACGTGAATATTTAAATAGCGAAGAATGTACATAGTTATTACGGCAACTGAAAATTAGAGACAACTAAATTCTTACCTAGAGCCACTCTAATTTTCGAGAAAATGGGTTTCCACGTAATGCTTGCATATTCGATGACGATTGTAAAATAATACCGAGCAATGGAATGTCTTGCTTTCCTTTCGTAGCTCTGCAATTTTCTAAGAATTCCCGTTTACCCACATGAAATTCATTCATGCTTTTTAAAGCATGATGCTGATGGGTAGCAACAAATAAATATAATTGTATCCAATTATTCTTTATTTTTCAAGCACCGTCATTCAGATATTTAAGCATTTGACGTTCTTAATTAACATATGCTTGCAGGTGAAATTTAAATGATCCAGTGAGAACGTAAAGGATTTTGACAAACTGATGCAATATTAACTTTCACTTAACTTCGAAGAGACATCGGATAATTAGTAGCTTCGAGTGTCGAGAAATTATCTCTCGGACTACTAACAATTACGCTGTAACCATCAAACGTTGTTCCGACAGTTCGATCATTAGTTTATACACATCATAAACGAGAAATTCAATGTTTACGTAACATTGTACAATTTCATTCGTGGTTCTATCGTATTTATTTATGGAAAGTGTTCCAAGTAGAAACAGTATCTTATCTTTTGATGATTATTATTTTGTTAAACACGGTCCAAACATTTAATGATACAGTTCACGGGGATGGTAGGACCTACAATTTGAGCTATGTTTCAGTATCATGTTTCTCTTTATCTCATTTTACAGTATTGGTTACTAATGCATGAACCACTCGTTTGGCTATGTCGTAATTTCGCGAGAATTTTAATTAACAATCAAATAAAAATCATTTCACGTTGCTGCTTTGTCAAAAAAAAAAAAAAAAAAAAAAAAAAAAAAAAAAAAAAAAAAAAAAAATCATCTAGTACAAAAATATACTTATTCTCAATTTTCCTTCGCGTTTATCCCAACTAATTTCTGTTGTTTACCAATGCACCAACCCACTGGTTTGTCTATGGTTGTCGCAATTTCGCGAGACTTTAATTAACAAGCAATGAAGCGAGGTACCGTGGAATTTCTAACAGACGGAAGCGTTCGCTTGGAGCGTTTACAAAAACCATCGAAAAACTGCAAGTCACCAGAGGTAAATGCAGCTGCTGTTTCGCTCGAGTTTTGACGGGAGCGGCTCAAACGTTGCTTTCGTTCGTCAAACGGTTCGCGATATCCGCGACGAAGATCAGCCACACTTTCTGCTTCCGACAGGACTCGGTGGCCGATGCGTTTCGGCATTTCTGCAGCGACGAATAGCAAAAGTCGCTCGACGGGACGCTTCGATCGCGAGAATTTTAAAAAAGATTTTCATTTCGACGGCAGAGGAGAGTGGAAGAGGGTGATTTATTCTCAGTGATCATCTTCGTCGAAGTGTGACGATGTTCAACGACAATTGCGCAAGACCTAATGATAAATGAAACTAAGCGGCAGTAAACGAGGAAACAAATTCTTTTCGATAGAACGGGTGAGTGTCTCTTTCAATTTCTTCACGCTGTTTTCTCTTTCAATTTTTGTTTTTATTTGTACAAATTTGGCTCCGAGTGGTTACCCTTACTGCGAAATTGTGGTGGAATTGGGTTTTTGGGTAGTGCGAAAATTTTCAAATTTTCTAGAGGTTTTTTTTATCTATCGTGAAACAGAGGTGAAGAATTTTGTTGGGTTCTTATTTGTTTTCAGAAATAAAAGAATTCTCTGCAGCTGCTCGGGGATGTTCATGCAAGTTCATATTTTCGTAGATACAGATACAGATATTCAATTTAAATGAAATGTCTCTTACTTGTCAATACTTTATGTGTTTTTGAATTTGTGTACATTCTAATATACCCTAAAAATGATAAATGATAATATTTCTTAGCTTCTGAACAGTGTCACGTGTGTAACATTATTTTATTGTCGATTTTATAAGCTTTTGAATTCGTCCACACTCTCATGTATGCTGAACATGAAAAATGAAAGCATCTCTTATCCTTCAAACAGCGTAACATGTATTCTACTGCCGATATAATATAATATATATATATTTCCAAATTCGTACAAATTCTCATATATTCTTTTACATTTCCATTTCTTATGAATGCATAAACTTCCAGAGTCCATTAATAATACTTTTAACATTGAATAATATTTTTAATTCATCTACAACCAAGTATCGTCCTGAAAAGATCAACATCCACTTCCAATTACACCCCCACTTTAACTCTTTAAAATTCATAAAATTCAAGCTGCTCAGAAGAACAGCGTCAACAACTTACCAACAACTTTTGACTTGTATACATTTCTAATTCCACTTATTGTACTTTTAGCGTTAGTTCATAGTGTTGCCAAATGAATGGAAAACTTTAAATAAAATAGTAAAGCTAAGCAAAAGTTGGGATACTTTTTAACCCACCTAACATCAAAGAGTTAACACCGTCCATCTTTCCACCAATAGTTTCGCCACACGAGAACCCAAAGCAACCCCCGAAGCTCAACCCAGAAACCATGTCGTGGGTGCCACCGGATTTGGCCAGCCTCTGTACGCACGATTCCATGGTCTCCACTTGCCAGTCGTCCACGTTCGTGTTTCTGGCGTTCATAGCTCGTTTGTTCGGCCATTCGAAGGACTCGCGATTCGTGTTCAACGACCACTGGCTCGGTCCGCCATGGGAATTACCGTTTGACGAACAACCGCAACCTGCGCGTGTAAGACGCTTCCGCGAACGTCAGAAAAACAGGATACGCGGTCGCGATATGAGGGACTTTCCGTTTCTGGATGGTCCGACGTCGGGGAGATCGTTGGCAAGCGTTTATAGTTCACGGTTCGCGTGCGTCCCGATTTTTTCGTCAGGTTTCAAGGATGAAAGCGAAGAAAGTACGTCCGTTAATGTCAGAATGGCTGTGCCGGCCGTGAATTTCGCTCAAGTTTACGGCCCTTATCCACCAATCGCTGGCCGAGCGATTACATCCACGTCTCAAGCTTACGATGACTTTCTCGTTCCGAAAGGTAAAAACGAATTTCAATTTCTGTACGCAGCGGTGTAACACGCGCGCCTCGCACGTTGACATTGTACCAATTTTTAGGAATATGGCCTTGACGACGATAGCATTTTATAAATAATATAATCTTATAGGCCCTTTATTAATTTCTTGAGAAGATCCTACATCTACTAAATTTTTGAGAAACAATATTACCATGGACAGAGATAGGCAAACCTTTACTCGAATAGAAAATACTTAACGGATGCATCACACTGTGATTTATTCATAACAGTCATACGCATCAAGTATCATTTATTCAACATGAAATATTTAATTTTAGAATTTCTGTTCATCAAATAAGCCATTCAGGGTTGTTCTAGACAAGAATATTACGCATCTTTGTTCATGAGAAATAAATTTCATAGTTTTTCTATGTTCCTTTCAGCGATACAACAATTCCATCCAAGTCTTCGTTCGAGTCAACATGGAAACCTCGCTAAAATTCAAAGCGTAAACACATTTCCGTCCACGTCACGAATCTTTGAGAGCGAATTGAAAGTTCAAGATCGCAATCTGCCGACAGGGCAAAGTTTAACTGACAATCCAGCAGCCAAACAAAATTTCCTCGACGGATCTTCCATGTACAATGCTTGGAAGCAACGACATCAAACGGATTACCCCAATTTTAAAATAGTCGACGATCCGAATCTACCGTTCGGCAATCCGAGGGGGCCACTCGACACTTTTAGCGCGATCAATTATTATCCAGATGCTACGAATTTTCTAACGAAGGAGTACGATTTTGTAATCGTGGGAGCTGGATCGGCTGGATGCGTTCTCGCCAACAGGCTGAGCGAAATAAAACACTGGAAGGTATTTATTGATTGTTAGACCACGGATGTTTATGCAAATTTATGCTTTCGCAAACACAGAAAAAGAATTGAAAATGAAATGAACGTATATTGTTGATATTTTATATAATTTTCCATTTGTCCACGCTCTCGTATTTTCATTTTCCATAGATGCGTAAACATCCGCAGTCCGTCGATTATAGAATATCTTTTCATCGTCATCTATTATTCGGATAAAATATCGTCTATCTTGAGTCGACTGTCAAAATAGTAAATTTCACTGCAACTCGCGAAACAAGGAACAAGAACAGGAGGAATGAGTTTTTACAACGTGCATAAATAAGATTAGCCTGACTTTACTAAATAGTGCATTGCGAGTGGATGACTAATATCCAGCGAGTTGAAACATTTGGAGCATTGTGGAGCAAATTTCTTGTATGAAAGAATGCAATCAGGTACAAAAAATGAATGGCAGAGAACGAATGTTACACATTTACTCGTACCTAGTGAGTATATCTTTCAGTAACGACAGCGTGTTTACTTTCATTTATATGAAAATTAGAAGTAGACTTATTAGAACTTTATTAGCAGTTCAATTGCTTCAGAAAGAATTTATTGCATTCGATTGAATTATTTACAGTAATCGACTCGGTTTGAAACTACTATTCCATCAGGGTTGCAATTTTGATTTCGTAAATGTTTTATGCAACCATAAATCGAAACTTCGAATTGTCCTGTAGCATTTTTAATGAAAAGTGACAAAAGAAAAAGAATATTTCAAAGAAGACTAACTTGTTTTTGTTCAAAGAATTGAAACATACATAAAATACATTTCGATAGAGGTTTCCATTAAAAACATTTTCAAAGTTTCAAAGTTCTTCAGATCCATACAATTTGAGACGTCAATCATTAAGATTCATAAAATCTGAGATCTCGATCATTAAAATCCGTACAATTTGATTCCTCAACAATAAATAGTTTCCTCGCGTCGAGTCGCAAAGAGTTATGTGGGTCACTCCGTGTACTAATCCGCGTTG